GGGGGGGGGGGGGGGGGGGGTTGATTAGGGAAACGTTCGCTAAACTAGGCGTTCATAAACGCCGGGAAGAACCTCAGAACACACGCACCTGGATTGTCAGCGGCTCCCATGCCAGCTCCTCCGCAAACGACAAACAAAAGTGTGCGACGGCCAAAAATTCCATAGACAGGGAGAGGTAAGCCTCGGAGGTGTCTGCGAAGAGCGCGGGTGTCGAGGGCGAGGCAGAAGGGGAGGAGAAAGGGGAAAGAGACAGTTAGTCCCTGCGATCGGATAAAGGCCTCCGACTCAGCCCCGGACCCGTCCCCGGCCCCCACGAGACGCAATCCCCACCTTTCTGTCCATCAGCGGCCTCGACGCAGAAAGGAATCTCAGGAAAAAGCTCAGCCTCCGACTCGGACGACTCGTCCTCGACCAAGACCTCGACCGGCGCCCCCCTCGGCGACTTCCTCGGCCTCTCCTGGCATGCGCGGCGGGGGGTCCGAAGCTGGGAGTCGACCTGGTGGTGGTGCACCCTCTGCCTCAACGACCCCGGCTTCGCAGCCCTCCGCTTCCTTTTCCCGCCTCGCGCGCCGTAATCTGCGTCGGTCTCGGAGTTGTCCGCCGTTCCAAAACGGAGGTAATCCGAGTCGTCGTCCGAGTCGCCCTCGAGGCGAATGACGGGCGGGGCGTAGGAGATGCGGCGCGCCTGGTGGGATTTGTGGGGCTTTTGCGCGGGTTCGGAGCGGTTAAGGGGGGGGACTGCGACGTAGAGGTACTGGTTTTGCGGCGGCCGGCGCGGGATTGAAAAGGGGTGTGGGGGGGGGACCTTCGAGGAGGTAGATTTCGCAGCGACGACGGGTTGTTTTTTTGGGGTTCTTTTGCCCATTGTGAGAGTCCGAGGGGGTTGGGAAGAGAGGGAAAGGGGGGTGGCAAAAGAGGAGGAGGGGAAGAGAGGATTCGGGGAGAAGTGTTCCGAAAGGGGCAAGGATGGGGCTCCCGCCGGGTCGCGCTGTTCTGGATGCGTTCTGGTGCAGCGGAGTGCGTGTAGGCAGTTTAAGGGAGCCAGGAAGGCAGGCGGGAGGGAGTGGGGAGCGTGCACGGAGCTGCGCGGAGTTGCGAAATGCTTCTGGGGGAAGAAGTTTGTTGCTGGAGAGGGAACCTTTTCCCTTCGTCGACGAGTCTGCTTTCTGGACTCTGAAAGTCTGGACTGTGGAGCTTTCCTGGGGGCGTTTAATCTGACTACGTCTATCGACAAGGGTTGGCTGCTACATTAGACATCAATGCATACATCGTCTTCTTTCAAGAACAAAAATAACAGAGCCTCATGAAAAAACCAGCTGCCGCCACGCAACGTTGATAACCTAAACTGGTGCCTTGCTGCGTAGACGGGGGCTTAGATCAGTGGTAGATCGTTCGCTTTGCATGCGAAAGGCCAGGGGTTCGAACCCCCTAGCCTCCACTCTTTGGGCCTACAGATGCATGATAGGGGATGCTGTGTTGGGCGGTTCTCGGGCTATTTTTGCCCATGTGACCATACGATCTCCTCTCAATTGACCCGTCCCACTTGAACACTTCCGCCTCACCTCTGCGGCTTCTGCTTCTATTAATCCTCTCTGCGTTTGAGGAGAAAGCCGCGTGGGGGGTGGAAGTCGTGGGTCGCCCGCATCCACTCGCTGCTCCTCCCAAGGCCCAACAGAGTTAACAACGGAGGAATTTATTTGGTCACTTTGCTCAAGATCCGGTCTTTCCCCTCTGCCTAGCCGGTGCCTCTCCTCCGCGGCGGGAGGCTCTCCATCCCCCGCTTCCGATGGTTGCTCGTCCTCGCAAACAACTCTTGATCGCCTGACAACCGACAATGTCCCACACGGTGACTGAGAGAGCAGCATCTGGGCATCTTCCTCGTCCTACTCCAATTGGTGACCAACCCATTAGGTCTCCTGGCCAACATCATCAATTTGCATGTTCGGTCGAAGGCGAGGCATTGTTTCAACCCAAAACCTTGACCGATTCGCAGCGGATCCGTACTCTTTTAAGTTTTTAATGCTTGACGGTCTTAGTCTTAATTAACATCCCCGCTTCCACAGTTTCAAAAGCTGCGGCTTGTAAACCCAGGCAGTCCATGACGTCATCTTCCTCTGTTCGATGAGATGTGGACTTTGTCGGGGGAAAAGTCGAGAGAGGGGGGAGGCTGGACCTCAACGGGCGCGCAGCAGGTCCAAACCCCCACCCCCGTTGCTATGGAGCATTCTCTGAATGTATCCCAACGGTGCATGGAGTGGACTGACAGGCACTGGCCCCACACGTCCACCGGGTTGATCATACGTCAATCTAGTCGTCGCTGGGTGGCAGGAAAGGCGTGGTGGAAAACAAAATGCAGAGATGCCGGAGAGAGATACCACCTCAGGTCTCCTGACAGATCCGAATGGCCAACCTGCGGCTCAACCAGGCGGAGCAGACTTGAGCAACGGAGGCTGGCAATGTGATGCATGTATCACAGCCATTGCTGCACTGCTGAACTCAGAGTAGGAGCAGCACACGAAAGGAATGTTCATCAGTTTAGTGCTCATTTCTTTCAATTAGCTGCTTCACTGCCTCCTCAGTATCTTTCCTTGAACTTTATTGCTGTTGAAAGGAGGCTGGGTGGGATATGGTCATACCGATGGGGACCTGGGCTTTTAACATAACTGGCGTCGACAGTTTCTTTCTGGATTGCGTTACACCAGTCCCTCACCCAGGGCAGAGAGGTGTTAGCTGGCCCCTCATCGGCTTATTGAAGGAGCGCCTGAACCCCTATGGCAAGGTCACTATCAGGGCAATGAGCCCGCTTGGTTTGACAAACTGATAGCAGCGCTCGATTTTGCTTATCGCCTCCAGTACTGCAGGCGGGAAAGTACGGGTGGAGGCTGGAAAGCATGGATAAAAAAATGGCAAGGAATGTGGGAGGGGGATCCCTACATGCCTCCTGAGAAATCTGAATTTGCAACCTTCTGCTCGACCAAGCAGAGTGGAGCAAAGGAGGCTGGCAGTGGTACAAGGAGGAACTCAACTAGGAACAATAGCCAAAATGTGCAAAGCATGTAACGTTAACTACTCAAGTGTGAGAGGCGCTGCTGGCGGCACCAGCTATTAGAAAGCTTAACCTTCAGCTCAATCGAGCGTCTGCCCTTGAGCGGAGGAGGCTGGCAAAGATCACTGGGGTGTCGAGGCCAACCTCTTGTTCTCATAATACCTCATCCAGAAATACAACCAAAGAAAAAAGTCGCACTCAGAGCGTGCGCCAATCCAACCACCCAGAAGGGCATCTACGAGTTTGAATCCCCACCCCAACGCTGCAGGGCATTCTCCAAAATGTATGCACACTGCCAACCCTCTTGCGCCAAGTTCCAAAGCGCGAGGAGAAGGTAAATGGAGGAGTTATTACCCTGATGTGTGGGGGAGAGATCATGTCTCTTAATCAACTCAATATCCTTCCTTCTGAATTCAAAAGATCTCTCTTGTGCACCCCCCATTTATCAGCCTCTTCCTCCTCCCCCTAGCGGTCTCATGGAACTTGTGGCAGGTAGAGGGGGAGGGCTGGGGGGAGGTCGACAAGCTGGTCACAAGATCATTTATATTCTATCAGACCATCTTCATTTGAGGTCTTTCCGGACTCACCCCCACAATCATCCATTCCTTGGCTGGATTGTCTCCCCATCCTGGGAAGAGGTCTCATCCATCACGGTTCGAAATTCCCACCTCGTAATTAATCACCCGCCTATGGCTGCAAGCTGTACTCTCCGTCAAGCAGCAGAGTAACCAGGACTTTTCCCATGATAAAGTGCATGTCCTCCAGTCAGGTATCATGCTCTCGCCGGCCTTGAGACAGGGAGGAAAGAACGACGCCTGATTCCTCCCATGCATGGAGCGAACATCCCTGGACAGGCCACCATTGCAGCGGGGGCCCCAAGCTTGCCGACCAGACCTCAATGAATACTTTCCTTCATCGTCATCGGCACTTGGAGGCAATGAAGCACCAGTGAAAAAAGAGACGATAATTTTGACATTTTACTCTTTGAAGGACATGAGAAATCCGACCTCTCAACCTCCAACTCAAAAAGGTGGACTTTGAGCAACGGAGGCTGGTGGTGAGAGGTATGTTGCAACAGATGCTGCAGGAGGACCTCAAGACTTCGAGTGAGGCAGAATGGAAAGTGAAAAGGAACGAGATTACATGACTTCGTAAGTCTTGAACTTCGGCCGCGAGAGAAAGAGGTGATCGGAATATAGAATGCGTCACTTGGTCGTAAAATACCTGATCGCACTCGATAAAGTGATGTGGCCCTAAAGAAGGACATTGCTATTCCAGCCCCAATCCCCCTGTGACCTTACTCAGGCGCCCAGGAGGCCCAACCCCTCACCCTTATGCTATGAACCAAAGTGTATCCCATGGTGCATGAAGTGAACTGGAAAGCATCGGCTGCACACACCCACCAGGTTGATCATATTGCAATGCAGCCGTCACTGATAGGCAGGAAAGCGGTGGTGGAAAAAAGATGCAGATATTTTCAGGAACGTCACTGCCTTAGGTCTCCTGGGCGATCGGAAGGCCCAACTTTCTGCTCGACCAGATAGAGCAGAGCAGACCTGAGCAACAGAGGCTGGCGGGTAGTGATATTAAGAACTCCAAAGTATGAGCAAGGCAGCTTCCTGAGATTCCAATCAGGCTCGACCGTTGAATTCCTGAAGGAATGAGGCTGGCAAGGACGTTGGTGCTCTGCATCACACCGATGGGAACTTCCTTATACCCAATATATCCGGGGCAAACACCTTTTCCGGATTACACCACTCTCTCACCGAAGTCAGAGCGGCGTCAGCTGCTTTTTTTTGATTTTGATTTTGATTTTTTTGGTCACTTCATGTTCCTTTCCCCGGCAACGTGAGAAACCAGTGCCACGAGACGAGCCCACCTGGTTGACCGGACAGCAATTCAGATTTTTGCTCGTCACCACCCTATTACTGGAGGCAGGCAGGTATGGGTAGAGGACTGTGGAGGCATGAAAGCGTGGGTGAACAACAAATGAATCTCCTGGGAAATAGGAATACTCGACCGTCTGCTCTAGCAGACTGGAGCGAAGAGGGCTGGCAGTGAAAGGCATGTTTGATAGAATCGGTACAAGGAGGAACTCGGCAAGGAAGGCAGGGGAACTTTGCTGCAAAAAACGTGACAAGTGTTCACGGCGAACGACCACTGCCTCCTGAGAAATTCGAATTCTCCACCTTTCGTCCAACCAGGCTTCTGCCCCAAAGGAGGCTGGCATCAACAAGTGTCTGTGTACACCGAGAGCTATATCTTGTTCTCAAAATACCCCATCGAGCAATACAACCAGAGAAAAAAATACATTCAGACGACCGCACGCCGCCCCGGACAGAGAAGGGGAATAAACCCTACCCCAACACTGCGGCGCATTCTCCAAAACGTCCGCACGCTGCTCAACCTCTCAAGCCACGTTCCAAAGCGCGGGAAGAAGGTCGACGTAGAAATCGAGACCCTGATGTGGCACGACGAGGTTGGGGGAG